TCATTATATTATTCGTTACAATTTAGTTTCTTTTAGATATCCAAAAAGCATACGAAAACATTAAAGCATTTTACAATTGAATTAACAAATTAATTTAATTTAATTAACATGATTAACCCCTTAATGCATACATTTTCTCGATGTGTAACGTTATATACGAACTTCAAGTCAAGCATTATTCATGTTTCCACTTAATTATCAATATAATATTTGTTATAATAATATTTTTGAAGTCACTGGGCAAGAGTCTCCCGACTTTTCTCTCGTTCTTCCGAACGTGGTTGTGCATGCTTGCTTGCCAGATCTCGCGTGGTAGACACGTTAAAACGAACAGTATTAGTTTATTATTAAATTATATATGCAACAAAATATATTTGGTTAAAAACGCGTGGTTAAGTAACGCAGTGTTAAGCAAATAAGGGACACTATTTTCATTTATTTCTAATAAAATTGTTACCAATTTCTCCTAACAAAAGGTTTTCGTTTGTATAGAAGAAATAAACTAGAATTTTGAATTTAAATAAATTAGTCAAGTTTATTACGGTCCTTCGTAAATCCTTCGAGCTCGAATATGTTTTTATCGTGTAAGTATCCACATACTTCGTATAAAGAATACATGCACTGTTCTTAACCTCTTGCGCTGAAAATTAATTGAGCGATGCTCGTGACGAACTCGAACAATTGGAACAAGTAGTTTCACTGCGTTCACTGTACTTCTTTGAGATCTATGACCACCTTTTATTGATGGAATATTTCTAGGAAAACGTTCCCATTGTTTCGCTTATAGACGTAGTGGCATATTATCTACAGATGCCTTTTCACGCGTTCTATACTTAGGAGTAATTACATTTTGCAATATTTGTTCAACTGAAATTTCAAGAATTGATATGTTTCAAATCCATTCAATTATACGTTTATCTTCCACATATAAAGTTATATTATCTATGTACTAACTATCTTCTTACTCATACTCTATACTTTTAATAAAATGATGATACAAAGGTATCGCTACATGTACTATTAGTTTCATTGATGTTTTCTGAACATTATTGAAAATGAAAGAACTTTGTTTAGACCATCGTATTACTCATATAAAAATAGTGAAACTTTTTCCTGTTCTACTGTTTCTATAGTGTAACACTTACAAAAAAAATGGTGACGAAGACTGCATATAGAGTGTCCTGTATCCATTCGAATGTTTTTGAAACTATTGATGAAATTAAAAAATGTGTCAGACAAAAATTTAATAATTTTCAGGCACATATTAAATTATGTGAGTGAATTTTTTTTATCTAGATACGTAGAAGATTTATGAAGGTCAATTTTAATGAAACCATACCCATTTTGCTATATTAACACGTTGAATGCTGTGGGTGTCACCGACCAACCCCAACCAAATCAAATCACTATAATTCACTCAATTAATCGGTGACTATTTGAAAATATTTCTATATTATAAATAATATTACCTAGTACAGTGACAATCGACAAAATAAACGTGCGATAACAATAACGTAATTCAATTAAATCATTCAATATTATATCTTTTTTTATTTTGGGAATTTTACTTCGTGAAATCGTGCGGTATTCAACGTGTTAATCAATACAACTCGCTATTCTCCACATAAATGTATTAAGCCACTTATAGCAAAGAATTATTGGTTTACAAGATATTTAAATTTCGATTTACATGAACCGATTTAACTGAGATACACCGTGTACTCTGAAGCAATTATATACAGTTAGTAATCAAGCCGATACTGATACATACCGATGATATTCAGGTGGTCTGATATTAAAATAGAATATGGAAAAAAACATCGGAAGATATCGAAATATTAGGTACTTGGAATAAATTTCCGATAACCACTTATACTTCTTGAGGCGATAGCAAATGAATACGTATACTGCATTGAATCAATACTTGCTTCATACTTCATGAAGGAACCGATATCCGATTAAACTTAATGAAATTACCGATGTCCATCAGATATTTTCCAAAATCATCGGTATGCCTTTGACATTATAACAAGGTATTACTTTGAAAATATTAATATGCTGGTATAAAGAGACGTGGAGTATTTTTTTTAAGTTTGATTGAATATGTTGAAATAATAGAAGAAATTTGTATCTATTAGGTACTGTAACAATTCGTGCGATTTTCTTGTTCGCAATTAATTGAGGTCCGATTTCAGTTAGTATTTCACTAGTTTAATAGATAAAATTGGCGTTAGCAGCAAGTTATGTTCATGCTGTTGGTACCAAATAAAATTGAATTATTTTACAAAAACATTCTTTCTGTTCGAATCTTGATTTTAGAAACCACATAAACTTTTTCCGGCATCTAATATAAAACTATATCATCAGTATTTTAGTAAAGTAGAAAGTAAATATCTGTTATTTCTGAAGGTATCAATTGTCATATCGTAATGAGTATTAATATTGTCGTTATGTATGAAACAGATATTTATCAATGTATTTGTGGGGCGCATGATATTCGGTCCGATATTATAATTTATGGAAAGCTGAGAAAATCATATTTTCATAAACCATTCCATTTGAAAATATAAATTTTGTACTATAAAATATTCAATAGACATTCATTTACTCTAAAGGGCACCAAGCTGACCTTGACCTTCATACACGTTGTCGAGGATAATTATCTTAACTTATGTTTAACTAATACCCCCAACAGATGTATAACATTAAACATATAAAGAGTTAAAAATATTTTTGCAAATATTGACGAATAAATCAAAAACTATAAGACACTGCAAATTGACTTGTTAGAAAAGGTTACTCAGAGCAGTGTCCTTAACAACATACTTGAAGGTCAAGGTCATTAGCGTGGCGTTTCTTACAATAAATAATTACTGTAGTTTTATTCGGAAATTCCCATTAGTAACGAAGTTATGACCTCTTAAAACCGGTGAATCACGATTGGTCGACACGCAGCAGTGTGCTGAACACGATTATGAAGTTCTTGTGAAAGAAGTGTTTACTTCTAAGATTAATTTATGAAAATTACTGTAAGATCACATCGCTACAGTACAACAGAATATTGGAAAATTGTGTTACATACAAAAATAATGAAAGAATAAGTAATAACTTTTGGAAAATTTTTTTAATTGTTTCAAAATAACGTCTGTATTGTAGATATTACTACGTATTAAAAGCGAGTCTACTATCTTAGATCACTTATACGTAACTAAGTATTACTTACGTACAAGATGATCATCAGAATTTGTTTACCTTAAATATCTCTATGTTATTTTTAATAATAGAAAAAAGTCAAAGAAAGAGTATGTTTACTTCGAAGAAGCAAATATTACAAAGAGAAAATTTTTTTCGAAATTTCAAGGTCATCAATCTCTTTTTGACTGGAATTGCATATTTTTGTCATCATGTTGAGATACTTGAGGCCAAGGTAAAAATTACAATATTAAAATGTATAAATTTGAAAATTAATAATTTCCAAAGTACTATTGGTGAATGTGGTAAATTTTTGTGAGTGAATGTAAATACCACACTTGTCTGTCTGTCTGATACCAGAACATGACTGAATATCTAATACAAAGGTTTTATTATCCATAAATTAAACTCGCTAAAAATGGACGTGATAAGATAATTTGTAATGATGAAAATTTAATGGCTCAGAGCAATAGTGGTCTAGCTACTATTTCTGAGTTAAATTAATTAAATATTAATATTACAATATTATTAATAACATGACTTATTATTAGTTATTAATATTAATAATTGTAATATTTATATTACTAATAACATTAATTGTTGTTAGTTATTAATATTAGTAATTATTAATATTAATATTTGATTGATCCAATAACATTTCAAGAAAACTTTTATTTTCTCAACAACTCAGGAATAGTATTATTACCGATAGAATATATATTATTCTATAATAGAATATATATTATTCTGAGCCACTCAATTAATAGTATCAAAAAATGAGAAGATATACTTGCTGCAGTAAAACTAATATATGAATCATCTGAGTAATAGGACAAAAACATAGTATATGTAATTTTACTTGCAGATTCGTTGTGGTAATGTCTTACAGTGACGTTCTCATTATACTTAGATATTACTGTATATACAACGACATTTGTGTTCAATAAGAGGTCGATAACATTATTGCAGATAATGCACACGTTAAAGTTGTGCATCAACTGGTCCAAATGCAGATCGTTATGCAGTAGAGGGCGTCGTTCAACGATTGAACGTTTCCAAACCTGCAGTGAAAGAAATTTCAAACTCGGCACAAACAACTACGCAAAAGAATAAAAGAGGTCGCAACGTTGGCGGAAGTAATACAATGTAATTCTGGAATTGATGGCATCATATAAAT